ATTCCCCCCGGACGCTATTTTTAACTGAAAAAAGCCGGACATATCCGGGGGAATCTGGACGGATGGTAACCCTAACATTTGTGGAGCCAGTAGAAAGTATAAGTTAAACCAGTTTAGGCCCCAGTACAGTAAGGTACCTAAGCACGTGACCAGTCCCATTGAAGACAAGCATATACTTAATGTCTCACTGAATAACTTGGAATAACTTTTAGACCCCAATTCAGATATGAGTCTATTGCCCTAAAATCATTGGAATCAGCAAAAATAACCACACAGCTAGTCTTTTTAGCAAATGTGCTAGCTTTTCCTTTCTGTTGGCTTTGAAGTTCTATCAAATTATTTACTTTGCAATGTTTTGTTTTTCAGGATGGGAAGAAGAAGTTTGACAAGGAAAGTGAGAAATATTATTCCATTCTAGAGAAGCACTTAAATTTATCAGCAAAGAAAAAAGAATCTCATTTGCAAGATGTAAGCTCTTTCCCTTTTACTAGCCCATAAGTTTATCTTTAAAAAGAGTTGTCTCTAGGATATGCTGTATTTTTCGTTACATAAAATGGTTGATGATTTCTGCCAGTCCCTGTTGCTAAGTACATATACATAAATTCTGTATATGAGATTAATACTATTCTGATGTGAAATAAAACTGTTAACAGGGTAGTATGTCCCATGTGCTCTGCCATATTTTAAGTTGCAAATCTAATTTTTACTATTTACAATATTTGTAATACTCTAATAAAACATGTATGACCTTTATGTGCAAGGTGTATGTGGAATATTTAGAATTAATATAATTAGGCTATGCTGACTTTTTTTGTTATTTAATTGACTTCATTTTACATAAATTTTCGACTAGATAACTGAGCTTGAAGCATTTTAATCACACTTTTAATGCTTTTCAGCATGTCATGTTTTCTGCTTTAATCGGAGAAAAACATTCTTTCCATTATGAAACTATATGGCTGTATTTTATTAAATTAAAAAGAGTGCCATATTGCAAATAAATAAATAGATTGCCAAAGGTTTTTGTCAGGTTTTGTGCATGTGATCTTCAGGTAAACTTGTGTTTGTCGTAACAAAATGTAGTCAAATATGACCTCATAAGATTCTTAGTTTGAGCAAAGAATGATGGATCCTTACTTTTGTGAGTAGTACTTCTTTGCCCCAGCAGTTTCAACAGAAGTCAGTGGGCCTGATTCTGCACTGCCTTCTCCCTTGTGTAACCATTAATGCCTGTACAAAGTGCCATTTTTATGTGGTAGCATTTTACATCTGTAGCAGTTTGCAGTAGTGTAAATGGCTAGACAGCAATGAATATTGAGTCTCATTGAGAATATTTGCATGTGTAGAGGCTTGCATAACTGGACGCAGAATTACATATTTTTTTCATGCATTACTTTTGCTTCCTAGGAGTTAACCGTACTTCCAAATAGAGTCCACAGAGTTTAATTGCAATACTGTGTACAGATTAAGGGATCTACAGTGATAAAAAACTATTCAGAGAGGATTGTTCTATTATGAGCACAAAGCTCTAATTATACAGGGTAAAAGTATTTAAACCTGATCCTGGAATCTGATATGTGGAGCTCATTTGATTTCATCAGGGCTTCTATCAGGGTCAGAGCCTTAAATGTAGATGCATCATCCATTTTAAAGAGTACATCCTGTAACTGTTACTTTTAAAAAGCATGCATAGTTCTAACTTAGCAGAAGGATCCCCTTTTTAGCTATGTTGTTAGGTTAAATTATTTTCCTGTGCAACAAATTACAAGTTATTTTTTTCAGTATTACTGACATTCTATTAAACTTTCCAAAAAAGATGGGTGTTATTTTAATAGCGTTCTTGTCAATGATAAACTCTGAAAACTTGGAAAATATTTTGCTGACAAAATTCTACCCAAAAGACGTAACCATCTCTCAGAAAGTCACAAAGTGTGGTTTATATTTACCTGATATAATAATGCAATTTCATAACATTTATTCTTTTATATTGTACTCGCTAAAACAGATGTCAGTATGATGAATCAACTGTAGGGAAAACAACATTAATTTTACAAGGTTTTTTTGTTCCATTCGCAGGCCAAATTTACATATACACAACTCTGAGAAGTACATAAATTCCCCTTGCATTAATGGGAAAATAGTTCCATTAGAGGTTAAGCAGGAAGTCAGAAAACAATTCTCGATGTATTTACCTATAAATCAAGATTTGGTTAAGACAAGTTAAGTGCTAATTTACTGTCAGGTTTAAATAAAGCACATTTTGGTGGGATGGTTATGAAGATTATTTATTATATTGCAGTTAAAAAAACTAATTGAAATTAAATACAATGTATCAGCTGTGAATATAATTAAATAAACTGTCTTAGAATTATGAAGGATTTGACTTGAGCATACAAACGAATAGAAAATCACAGTAAAAGTTTTCCACTCTGTCCTTAATGATCACTTCATGCCTAGATATTGAATTTCATAAGGGATGCTAGTTAGTCTACTTTTTTAAAGGCCATGATTGTAGAACATATAGGACCTACTTCACCATTACATTGCTGCAGATTTATGTTGATATAACTGCATTGAAATAATTGGAGTTACGCCAGCATAAAACTGGAGTAAGCACAGTGGTGAATCAGGCATTTAAATTATAAAAACTGGTTGTGGGGAGTTAGATAAAGAATGGGGCAGCTTCTCTTGTTTTGAGTTTGATTCAAAATGCGCAATTTTAATATTAGGCATATGTTTAGTTCTGATGATAGTACTCTCACCTCAGGTCATGGTTCGCCAGACTTAGCCAAGCTGAAGTTGGCACTAGCTGTGAGCCAGAGGGCCAGATGCATTTTCCCTAAAATGGAGTAGGTTGCAAAGTTATTTATTTATTTGTAATGCAGAGATACAGCCACTACAGACTTCAGATCTCTGATGTTCCATCTTGATCCAAGTGGAGGCCTGTGTTTTCCATACATCTGTAGTTACAGGGCTATAGTCACATAGTAAAGATCCTTCTTTGTGCTAAACCTTGGGATATCACTGTCAAATAGTGTGTAAGATGAAGATCATTTGGGTATGAGTTTTGTCATAATATGCAGCACATTCCATAGTAGTACACAGACTATTGAAATACTTTTTACAAACTGCACACAGTATGTGATGTAAAAAAAACAAAAACCCACTGTGACCAACTTTTTTACTATCCCTATGAGAAAACCTATGGAAATAAATGAGAATTACAGAATTAAAAAGGAATAGATCTGAATCAATGGTACAAGCATCAATTTTGGTAGCCCCCTATTGATCACTAAATGCAGATTCATGAAATTGAGCTTTCAGAATCATGATCATGCATGTCCATCTTGCAAGAACAGATTGAGTTCTGATGCACATTCTACTGCTATTGCCAGTCAGTCAAAATAATACTGACTCTAACTGTCTATCATAAAAGCTGCTGCTGTAATTAACCATACAGAAAGCCATTCTTTACCATCGGCTGAGTGGCATACAAAAAGGTGTGAAAATCTTTCCTGCCTTGGAAAAGTTCAAATAAACCACTTCTTAAATGATTCTTACTACTGTGAATGCTCATCGGTCAAGCAAACTCATCAGCCTTCACAGAAAATGGCTTTTGGAAAGTGTGATTTGATCACTATACCTAGGGTTACCATACGTCCGGGTTTCCCTGGACATGTCCGGCTTTTTGGTGCTCAAATCCCCATCCGGGGGGAATTTCCAAAGAGTCGGACATGTCTGGGGAAATAGGGAGGCATAAGCCAGGGTCCACCCAGCACGATCCGCCGGGTCCGCAGCGCAACCCAGCTGCCCCAGCTACAATGCTCAGGTGGGGAACGGGGGGGGGGGGCAGGCTCGGGCTTCCCTCGCGGGCGGGGAACCCCCGGCCACTGGGGGACCCTTCCTGTGGCCCCGTTGCCCCGCGCAGCTCGGAACCCGGCGCCGCGGCAGCTGTTTCCGGCGGGGACAGAAAGGCCAGGGAACGTGCTCGGCGGCAGGAAGGAAGCTGCGGCCGGGGCTGCAGGGACCCGCGCTGCCTAGCATCTGAAGCCCCCAGCAGGCAGAGGCTGCCGGGTGAGCGGGGGAGCAGCGCAGGCGGGGACATAGAGGCTGCAGGGGCGGGGGGCTGCAGGGCGAGGAGGAGCAGGGCAGGCTGGGGCATAGAGGCTGCAGGGGCAGGGGGTGCAGGGCGAGTGAGGAGCAGGCGGTCACAGAGGCTGCAGGGGCAGGGGGGTGCAGGGGCAGGGCAGGCGGGGGGCGCAGAGGGGGCAGGGGGTGCAAGGGCTGCAGGGGCAGGGGGTGCAAAGGCTGGGCAGGCGGGGGGCACAGAGGCTGCAGGGGCAGGGGGGTGCAGGGGCAGGGCAGGCGGGGGGCGCAGAGGCTGCAGGGGCAGGGGGGTGCAGGGGATGTAGGGCGAGTCGGGAGCAGGGGTCACAGAGGCTGCAGGGGCGGGGGGGGCTGCAGGGCGAGTGGGGAGCAGGGAAGCACTTAGCAACCCCCAAGATCAGAGCGGGAGGGGGAATGCAGGGTGCTCAGAGGAGGGGGCAGGGGCTTTGGGGAAGGTCGGGGGTGGGGAAGGGACGGAGCTGGAGCAGGGCCAGGCCCCTGTGGAGTGTCCTCTTTTTTCAGTGTTGAAATATGGTAACCCTAACTATACCCAAATGACCATTGTAGCCCAAGTTTGGGACAGTGTTTCCAAATGTGCTTAAGTCCCAATAAAGTTAAACATATGCTTACGTGCTTTTCTGTGGATGGATTAAAGCATGTTCTTAAGTGCTTTCCTGAACTGGGCCCTGAAAGAGCTCTTTGCTAAAACCAAATTAAACTGTTTTTATATACAACCAAAAGTAAAAACTGAGGCCCATGTTATGCAAATTCTCGTATTTTGCAATCCCATGAGTTAAAGTTTGCAGGATCATACCCTAAAGTTGTAACACATTGTTAAATTCTGCCAAATTGCATACCCTATATACCCTATTATATATACTTTTTATAGCATAGTTATTAATACACTAAGTTTTAGATTCATCAAGGAAACCAGTAATAGAAAATACAACAAAAATGCCACATGGCCAAGTTAACTTTGTGGTAAAAGCCTTAATTTTTGGAATTGCGTGGCTTTTGAGTGCTTTATTTCTTATCCTTAACATTAGCTTTTGCATTTAATTTCCTGTTTTGCTTTTTATAGGCCTAAACAGGAACAAGTGCTACTGATTCATTTTAAAGATACTGTTAAAGCTAATATTTTTGCTTTAAAGTGCTAATGGAGTACTGTAGAAGTGATTCAATGTTAAATGTCTCCATGCTACTAAATGACAATATTCACACCCTTACCTGAAGCAGTATTAATTAGAGGTGCCATTAACAGGCAGAATCTTTAATTGAAGGCAAATACTGATTATACAAATACAAGATTTAAAAAATACTAAACCTGTTTTCTTTAAAAATCAATATTCTTTCTGTTCCTTGATGGAAACTATAAAACAAGCCATCTTCAATTTTCTAGCTTCACATATGTTTGTTATTTGAGTTCCAAATTTAATCAGAACATAAGAGAAAAATGTATTATTTTTATACTACCATAAATCAGAAATGGCTGAACTGATGTTACTGAAAGTTTCCACAATTAAAAAAAGAAATGCCCTTAGAGCTGGGACAAGACATAGATAATTTCAGCCCAAAAGGAACATCCTTGAGGAAAGTTATGAATAACTGAAAAAATGGAGTTAAAATGGGAACTGGCCATGTGTTATGTCTCCCTCTAATGGCTTGTTTTCATGGAGGATAAGATCCTACTACTCTTATCAGTTGGTGGAGTTAATTCTTTCTCTCCAGTGACAAAAGTCTTTACTTTGGTGCTGGCGTTTCCAGGTTCGATCCCTGCCTATAACCATGGTAGCAGTCAATACTCATAAATTTCCAGCAAATACTGCACACTACACTTTCTGGGAAAACTAAAACATGAAAATTAGCTATTGTGTAAAACTATAAAATATGTTTATATTCTGAGACAGCTGGATTCATATTATGAAATAAATTATAGGCTGCAAGATTTCTGTGTTTAAAAACATGTCCCTCTCTTTCTCTCCCTCTCTGTGAGATAATCTGTGGAAAAGGCATTTGAAACTACTCATGCTGGGAAATGTGCAAGGAATCAGTCATGCATGATATTCAAGAGAATCCTTAACAATGCACACCAGCTTTGATGCCCCTTTTTGTTCTCTTGTCCCACTCCCTCCTCTGCACCTTTTCCCATGATGCTCAGAATGTGTGGAGCACCTTCCCCCAAGCCACCTTTCCTTGCTTCATGCCAGGTTCTCCTAAAATTCATATAATATAAATCCAGGAGAGGAGAGAAAAGGAGAGAAGAGCAGGGTTGGGGGGAACCCTAAGGCCAAAATTTTTAAGCTTGGATGTCTAAACTTAGGGTCCTAAATCTGTATTTAGTAACCTAAATAAGTGCCCTAATTTTCAGAAGTGCTGAGCACACACAACTCCCACTCATCCTCCCTGATTGAACTAACCTCGTCATCTCCACACTGATATATACCTGCCTCTGGAGATTTCCATTACTTGCATCTGAAGAAGTGAGGTTCTTACCCACGAAAGCTTATGCTCCCAGTACTTCTGTTAGTCTCAAAGGTGCCACAGGACCCTCTGTTGCTTTTTACAACTCCCACTGACCTTAATGAATGCTCAGCAGCTCTGAGTGGGGAGTCACGTATGTAAGTGCCTTACTTTAGGCACTCAGGTTTGAAGATTTTATCCTAAATTAATGTAACCATCCTGATGTGTCCTTGCCTTACTCAGGAACTGTCTGATTTTATTTTATCCTGTCCTCTTTCTCCCTTTCCTTTTCTGTTTTGTCTACTTATGACCTTGGCCTGTTGTGTCCTGTTACATTTAGACTGCGAAACAATAAGGGGGACTGTCTCTATTAGTGTTTCTATGGCAGCTAGCACATTTTTGCATGCCCAAAATAATAATGTTCCTTACTTTAAATCTTGCATAGCTGATCCTTGACTGCTTTTTGTCATCTTTTTGTGTTCCTTGCACTTTTGCCAGTTTAGGTTGTATTTGGTGAAGGACTAATGTCTGGACTGGTGACTTGTACTGTGTACCCCATTTCATCCTGGTTCACTTTGAAATAGCTCACAGAGAAGAGTAGGGATATTAGCAAAAGGAGAGTTGTGTTACGAGCATAAGAGTATATAGGGCTGGGAAAGAAAACAGGAAACTGGAACTTAGGGGACTCTTAAATAAATGGTTAATAATGGAAATATTAAGTGAGCCAGTTATAACCAAAATTAATATTAATTTTATGTACTTCATTTTTATTTTTAGGCAGATATGCAGATTGACAGAGAACATCAAAACTTTTATGAAGCGTCATTAGAATATGTGTTTAAAATTCAAGAAGTACAGGAGAAAAAGAAATTTGAATTTGTTGAACCTGTAAGTTTTGTATTTATTTTTCACTTCCTTTACCTACATTTACAGTGAATGTATTTAAAGATGAAAATTTTGGTTAATGTTCTTATTTTTTGGTCTCTTTTTAATTTAAGGAGTTCTTGAAAGTAGTTCATGAGCAAACAGGCATAAACTTCTTTCCTTGGGAATTATCCCCATTTCTTAAAGATTTGCACAAAAGTTTTCATGTCTACTGTGAAGTAAAATAAGTTTGAAATCTGCATGATATTTTAATGACTGAACTTAAAAGGTTGTGTCTGTGCAACACGTAACAGAGATTTCCTAATATAAAAATTGGCTCAAAATTCCAAACATATTAGTCTTCAAGTGCGCAGAGTATGAAGTTTACCTCATGTTTAGTTTTGCTAAGTTACATATGAAATAACATGAATAGAATATTAAAAATTCATTTGTATAATTATTAAGGTATTTTTGTAAAGTTATATAATGTCTGTAGAAGAACATGTCTGAGACCACTATGTGACTGGCAGAAGTTGTGCCAAAATTTTAATAAATAGGACTCTTCAGTTAAGTATATAAATCTATATTTAAAGTATGTCTACACTGCAGTTAGACAGCTGTGGCTGGCCTATGCCAGCTGACTCAAGACCCTTGGGCTAAGGGGCTGTTTAATTGCAGTGTAGATGTAGATCAGACGTGGGCCCGGCCCCTGAGCTCCTGGCTGGGGAGCCTAGTCCCCAGCCTCTCCCCCTCTGTCCCCCCTCCCCAAGAAGAGCTACCCTAAGTGCCTATCTTCATGTATTTTGAGATGAGAATATATTTCAAAGTGAATATTTGCATGTTGGTGAGAAACTAATGAACCTCGATCCAGCAACTAAAAATACCCGTGACTAAAACATAGCCTTACTTATAATTTATATTATGGACTTGCTATCAGTGAGGATGTAATGTACACCAAAATAGGGAGGAGTAAGGAAAGATGCAAATCAGAGCCAGGATTTCACCCTCATTTCATATTAGGGCTGTAAAAATGGGATTTTAGGAAAGATTTGAAAAGCATGAAGAAACAGGCTTGCTGAGTAGATTTTGGAAGAGACAAGGTAAGTGAAGTAATATTTTTTTATTGGACTAACTTCTGCTGGTGAAAGAGACAAGCCTTTAAACTTACACAGAGAGCTCTTCTTCATGTTGGGAAACTTAGGGCAAGTCTACATTCAAAGCACTGCATCGGCACAGCTTTAATGAAGGCGCTCTAAAGTGAGGGGAGAGAGAGAGAGCTCTCCCGTCAGTGTAGTTAACGCCCAAGAGGCGGTAGTTGCATTGGCGGGAGAAGCTGTCCTGCCA